AAAAAAAGAAAAAAAAAGCCAAAAAAAAAAAAACAAAAAAAAAAAAAAAAAACAACCCCAGAAAAAAAAAAAAAAAAAAAAAAAAGAAAAATTAATAAATCAAATATAGAAATAGCTCTTTGTATTTTTTAAAATCTTTTTAAAAACGTCTTTTATTTGCACGCATAATTATATTCCCTTTTAGTTTTCTTCTTCTTTTTTTAATTTATTTTTTATTTTTGCAAAGTTTTTATAAATACATATCAGACTGGGGTGTAGAATTGTGTGCCCAGGTCAGGTGTCCGATGCAGGAAAGATTCTGAAAAGATGAAGTTTCTTTGTTGCTTTCTTGTTGTCTTGTGTATTTCTGGCTCAAAACCTCCATAAAGGCTTTTTTGCCCCCTTTTAAGGATATTAACAGTCAGTTCTGGTTGCTTTCTTTTAAGTAAAACCTTCTATGAAGCTTTGCTTCAAAAAGAGTTACTAATGTAACATTCATTCTGAATTTCTGGAGAAGTTTATGAGCAATGCACTCTTTTAATACTTTTCAAGAAGGCGTGATAACAAAATATCATCTGCTTAGACTCGGAGTCTGTGCTTTTCAGTCAATTTCACATATTTGCTTTGTGTTGGAATCTGGATTGGTCCCGGCCCAGTTCAGCTATACCCGCGTTGTCGAGTGGCCGTGGGGCAAATTGGTACTGTTCTGGCTCCCGCCAAACGTGTTGAAGTTGTGCAGAGGCTGCATGCCAGCCAGCGAGTTTGGGATCATTGTGATAGTGCTGGGTGTCATCAGTGGGATGTCGTCAGGCGACCGGCGTAGCGTGAGGGTGTAGTCAGGGGGACAGGTGAGCCGCAGCGTGTCGTGGCTCTGCAGGGACTCACACTCGTGGTGATGTTCGTGCTCAAGCTGCTGCTGCTTCATCTGTAAAGACATCAGCTCCTCGCTCTGCATGTGCGCCACATCGTTGGCTGTAGTAGAAGTGTTCGCCGGGGCGGAGTTACGCTGCGGGGTTGGAACTCGGCGGTTAGACTCGTGTCGCCGCTTGTCTTTCTTGTAGTAGAGTGCCGCGAAGGCGAGGATGTTCAGAAAAAGCAGCGACGCCCCTACGGCGATGGTGACACTGAGCTCAGTGGAGTAGTCTCTCTTGGTCTCAATCATGACGGTTGATTCTTCAGTCAGGTCTCCGCTCTTGCGCTGGTCTGTGGTTTGCTTGGTGTTGGCAGAAGGGACTCCTGGGTGGCGTGTGGTGGACGGCCAGTTGTTTTTCCCTGGAAAGCGTTTGGTGTAAGGGTACGGGGTGGTGTCCTGCGGCGGTATCTTGGTGGTGGTGGACACATACTGGAAAAACTCATTTATATTGTGCAGATGTGGAACAAGTTCCAGCCAGAACGCGACCTTTGTAGCCCGGTAGTGATCCCGAACTCTTGGCTTTAGGCCAATGTGAAGGTAGAGCTGGTCTTTGGGGTTGTACTTAGTCCAGGCTACTTCTTCAAACCGGTTAGGCTTTGTGTGGATGAATTTTGTGTCTTGTGGAACTGGCTGATTTGGATCCCTGAAAGAGAGAAAAACAAAAACAGTATTCTTAGTAAAGGTTTTAATTCAGAAACCTTTCAGTAAAGTATTTTCCTATCAATCAGATCGCAACAGACAGTTGCTCTGTTGCAGTTTTTCATGTACTCACAACAAAATTCATTGTGTTTTGATGATAATTTAAGTGAAAGACAAACACAAGGTAATGGGTCATTGTGTAGGGATTGGATTTTTAAAGGTTTCTTACATCATCCTGAACAAACCAACCGCACTGTGAAACATGGTTGCATCAGCCTCATGCTGTGGGAATGCTTATATCAGCAGGGACTAAGAAGCTGGTAAGAGTTTACAGGAAGGTGGATGGAGTTAAATCCAGGACGATCCAGGAAGAAAAGCTGTTTGCAGAATACTTGAGACTTGGGAGAAGGTTCACCTTCCAACAGGACAACCACCCTAAAAATACAGCCAGAGCTACGATGGAGACGTTTATATCAGTGGTATCGACCACCGATACTCAATGACAGGTATTCTCAATGTCTTAGATCTTTTCCTGGTTGGGTGTGAATACTTTTGTTAAGAATCAGTGTTTAGAATCTAAACCAAACCAAAGCAAGTACGAATCTGTTGTTTCACTGAGGACTGATGGATGTCACGTCCAGCTGGGTTATTACCACATCTCTTCAAAAGTAATGCATTTCCAAGTGACTCCAGGATTAAATGAATGCTCTGTCACGACCTTCATATTTAATGATGCCTTATGGTTGGCAGGTTCTGAATTTTGTGCTAGTTCTGAAGGAAGAGAAAGTTAGACAACACTTGAAACATTTTCTTCTTAGATTGTGTTCAGTGAGAGGTGTTGTTGACCATGCATACATAACAAGAAAGATTTTATGAGTTGGTTGTCATATTTGGTGATTTGCCTTTACATACTTCTGTGATATGTCCTTTCCTTGTATCCATTTTCTGTGCATGAATCAAATGATTGAAGGTGGTTGGAACTGATCTAAAGCAGCCACTGGGTAAAACTGAGGAATGGAATCTTGTCATTCCCTCTTACTGGTCCCAACTCATATGTGGGCCCTGCTGGTTTATTTTGAGCACATTTCATTACCAAAATCATAGGACTTTTTTAGTTCTTTTGTTCTTATCATGAGGTTTTCTTCTTATATGTTAGCAATACTTTGTTGTTTTATCATGGATTTTTAATCCTAAGATTGACCTTTCACTGCTCTAGTGACGCATAAAGCAAAAGGTATTTATTTGCAAATTAATTTAAATATTATAGACCTATTTCATCACTAAGCAGTAATACTGCAGTCTCCTGTGCTTTGCTCTGTTTGAGGTAGATGCCAGCAGTCATTTGGCAAAAGATGGGAAACCCAAAGGACAAGTGGCCTGTTCATTGTCCTTTAGATAATCTTGGTCCAAATAAAAAGACATAAATAAAATTAAATAAAAATAAAAGTCATGACAAAAAACATCATGAGTGACTGAAGAGAAATCTTCACACAAGAGTCAAAGCCAGAAATCCACTGCTTAAAGGAAGGACTCATAGATCCCATTGGCAGCAGTTTTGCTCATGTTTTCACCTCTCTGATCAATCAGGTAATAATCTTTTGTTGAAAAATTCAGACTCTGCTTTTAAATAAAATATTTTTAAGTACTTTATTAGAATCAGAATTGTTATTTTACTGAAATCTGTTTTTGAAAGAGAGTCAGATATTTTTAGGTGCATTGCTGTCTGTCGATGTCGATTCTGCTCAGATTGGACATTGACCTCTTTTATGTGAACATCTTAGTCAGGAATCACCTATTCATGCAGATCTACATCCGTTACCTACCTGTGAGTATATTCACCTGTGAATAGGTAAATATACAATAGAAAAGTTCTACTTTCCTATTGTATCAAATGTTTACTTTATGCATTAAAATGCAAATTAATAATTATACGTTTTTTATTATTATTTTTATTTTGATAGGACAATGTATTTCTGTGAATTTTTTAGGTGATGTCTCTCAGGGTTGATGTGTACCAACAATGACAATTCTAGACCTCCATTGTTTGTAAGAAAACGTAAAAAATAAAATGAAATAAAAATCCACAGTGTGTCAAATACTTATGTTCCCTCACTGTGTTTTCTGAAAGGGCTTGCACAGCAGGTGTGGTTGAAATCATGCAGTGATGACAATCTGTGTGACGAGCTGGTTGGTAAGATTAAAGCCAAAAAACAAAAAAACACACCCTGACTACATTTGGATAGAGGGCCATACTAATCCTTTCTTGCCAATAACACACATTGATTGGGTCATGGTTGGAACTTTTACTGGAACTTTTGTTCTTCTCCCTTGCAATCATAAAATCCATTAGTTGCATAAAATTCACCACAAAATCTAAATTTATGAATTATAATATTTGAAAATCCTAAAAAGTTAGTGGAGCATAAATCATTTCCCAAAAATGTTAACTTGTCTGTTTTCCTTTTCTATTTGTTTTACCGTTCAAAAAAAAACAAAGGCAATCAAAATAAATAACAGTTTTCTGCCTTTAATGCCTCCCTCACTACCTTTGGCAGTCACAGCTTCCTCATTGGAACCAAGAACAAAGCTGCTCGGCTCAAGCATCCCTGAAAGCTTCCCATGTTTCAGATGGATTCTGTTTTGGCAAACACTTGATCCATTTTTCAGAACACACTGAGCCAGAAGCAGAGTATTTTCTAGGATAATAAACTGGACCAGAACACTACTGTGCCCTTCACTCAGTCAGAGGAATTTTGCCCAGGAATCCGTGTTAAATCTCCTGCAGAGTCATCACTGCTGAACTCTGCAGCCCATTAGGATGTTGGTGTCAGTTTATTGAGGGTCCTAACAAGCAACTGAAGAAAAGTGTGTCCAAGTAATTGAGGCCTTTTGGGAAACAAAGCTGAGCAAAGACTTCTGAAACTGAGTAATTACAAATTTTAGATGGTCTACTGATTTTTTACACTGAAGGAATGAAAGTCAATTTATATCTGCAAACACTAGAGCAGATTTCCAGTCGGTGGCTACAATCATGCAGCCCACTGGAGCCTCTTTATAAGACTCTTCACTATTTCATAAGAGTTTGTTTGCTTTGTGTTGAAGACCCTGAACATTCCTACTTCTAAAAATCATTTACAGGCTTATTATTTTTCTGTTTCTACATTTGCTTCTTCACAGGATTTAAATGGTAGCCATTTAAAATTTTACCAGAGTCAAGAAAAATCTAATTTGATTGGTGACCATGAATGAAGAAGTATCACTTTTCTCTAGCTGGATAAATCCTCCTACACTTTAGAGAGTGTGCCTGTTAGCGTCCTACATCAATCATAATATTGGGGTATATTATTTACAATGGAAACACAATATTCATGTTTTACCTAAAATATTTGACCCAAGTCGTGGCTAATTTGATTATATACAAACATTTCTAAAAAGTGTTATTATTATTCTCATACTTATGTCAAAATAATTCAGTTAACTGAGGAAAAAAGGAAAGCTTTAGTTAGATTTAACATCAAATAAAATTAATATAATTTTTTTTATAACTTAACTGCGCAATTATTTGGTTCCAACAGTATCACTGGTAGCTGATAGAAGCAGCACCTCTGCCTGATTAAACTGCCTCCTTAGGAAGGGTCAGAACAGTCATCCAGTAAGGTTCGGCCTCCAGCTGGTAGCTGCATATGGAGCCACACAAAAACGATTGCTGGCATGTGGTAAGAGTTCCCTCAAGGCCTGTCATTGCTGTACAAACATATGTTAGAACAGACATCACCCCTCCCACTGAATGCATTAGAGATAGATTAAACCGAACACTTTAAACCTTCCTCGCCGATAGAACCGCCAATTATCTTACCTCAATTATTTACATCCAGATTTTTGTAATAATTGAGATTTCTTTTTTCTCCCCCATGATTAATTTTACCAAACACTCCCTCCATTTCTTCTGGCAAGTAAATTAAAAGTGAAATAAACTTCACCAGTGTGATGCAACAGATGCTTTAATGGACTTGGAGAAGCTGGAATGAATTCAGTGTTGCCTTTTAAATGTCTATGAACAATATTTACATTGTTACACTGCAAGAGGACATGTTTCTAATCAATAAAATGTAACTTGAGACTGAAAATGTATTTATAAGTCATCTGACTGATTTGCCTCCTGTTATCCTCCTAGAATGGGAACACAGTCTATGTTTACTTTCCTAGGAGGAATGTTCTACTCCAAGAGTAGAGTAGGGTAAGTAGATGGTCAAAATGTGCATGTATGCTCAGTTGTATGTCTTGTTGGGTTCTGTGTTGCCCTGGAGATGAACTGGTGACCTGTCAGTAGGTCTCCCAACCATCACTAGAGACAGTGCAAGGACAAAGTGGGTATAAAAAAATGGATAAATGGTGTGTTTCACACACACAACATGCTGGGCTCAAACATTTCTGATTGACTGAAGTGTTGGTGCCATATGGAGACTAAGACAAAGTGCCACAATCCAAGCTAGAACATAAGGGAATTAAATGTCACTTTCACTCAATGGGGTAAAAATCAAGTGAAAATGTACAGTAGAAATAAGATCTTTACCTACACTGTAAAAAATCTAACACATTTTATTTTTCTTCATTTGGTATTAGACTAAATTTTCTATGAATTACAAAATGTACTTTTATCTGAAGAACAGCAGGGTAAGATACATTTTCAATTTTAAACTCAGAAATTTTCTCCTAATTTCTTAGTATTTGGTCAAACCTTTACATTTTACAACTTGGGTCAAATGATTTGGTTTGCTGTAATTTTCACCAAGTCCTCTGAACAGAACTTGTGTTACTGGGTTCAGATTTTAGGCCAACAATCCTCTTAAACAGGATGAATGGTGGACATTGCTATGCTGTTCATAAAATAGTTTGAACAGATTAGGGAGGATATCTCAAAAGTCCACAATTCTTTTTTCAGATATTTGGACAGATCTTCTTTTGATTTTGAACAAGAAGCCAAAGTGGTTTATTTGTTGCCTTAACTTATATCTACAGTTTCAGCTGTTGATGTGATCCAGAGTTTGTTAACTTCATCATGCTTCATTTGCTTCATCATTCTGAAACACATTATGTTTCAGAATGGGTTAGATTTAAATCATTGTAAAAATGATCTAAATCTAACCCCCTTCCAGTAAAAGTAAATTGTCAGTCCTGACTGATCTGAAACATGAACAGTTCAGTTTAATTTATTGTCACAGAGAGTGTTAATCTGACAAGACAAGATATCTGGTTTAACTTTGTATACGATGTGATTTTCTGGCATTTTTGTAAGTTGTTTTTTTTTTGTTTTTCTATTAAAATCAAGCAATTAAAAAAAATATAAACTTTTTTTTTTTTTTTTTTTTTTTTTTTCCAAAGTGAACACATTTACATATCGTCACCTTCCTAGGTCATTTTTGGCCAAAAAATGATTAAGGCAAAAAAAAAAAAAATGACTGGAGGTGTTGTTTAAGGAAGGTGACAATATTCAATAGAAGATCAAATATTCATCACCTCCAGTTCTTCTATATTTCTAATTACATCTACCATTTTCTACCAAATCAGAACTGACAGTTTTTTGTAGCGAAATGCAATCTGGCGTGATCACAACTGGAGACTTTGCAGTGAGGTGGGGAGACTTGCTGAGAAACAGCAACTCTCCAAGTGATAAATTTGCTTTCAGTAAACGCCGTCTTGGAAGTGCATAAAAAAAGCAGCAAGAGAAAAGAGCCTACCCAAAATGTGTGTGAGGAGACCAATCCCCCCGCTGATCAGGCATCAATTGAATTGGAGCCAAACAGCAAGCGGTGAAATGCTGCAGACTATCATGCTGATCAAGACTTTATTTGTTCGCCTAAAAGTGAATTTTCAGTGTGACTGGGCCGCAAACAACCTGATGCCTAATCTCAAGGTGTGTGTGAAGCAAAGAATCGTGATCCAAATATAAATAGCAAGCAAATCCTTTCATCAAATCCAGCACTGCAGCAGCACCAGGGCAGGATTTAATGTGTTTTATTAACCCCCACTTGATCTCTGTGACTCACCGACTAATCATTAAATAGCTAATTATAGCAACAATATTTGTTGATACCCTGTCTCTGAATCCAGGTTTGGAGCATTAATATTAAATGTTATTTTAGAAAACATTTAGCTGGTAATTTGATTCATCAAGAGGCATCTAGAGCTTTATACACATCTCCGGTTATGAGAGTGCAATGTGAAATGCTGATTATCTTGTACTAAGACTTCAGAATGTCTTATGTGCATAGTGTGTTGAAAAAGTCACACACAACAAACTTTAAGTGGGTGTAACCTTGTACAAGTTGTACAAGAACCTTTGTGAACCAGTAAAATAAACAAATAAATAAAATCAGCTTTTACACTGATTTAAATCTAACCCCAAACCATGCTTGGAAAAAAAAATAGTTCACTTAATGATTCAACAGCTTGTAGAGACATCTTTAGCAACTTATAGTAACTGCTTTCTGTATCGCTTTATCATATTACATTCCTTGCATAGATCAAGAGAGATATATGGCCTTACAGCCGACTCGGCACATTGCATGTTAATGTTTACATCCAGAGATTTTGCCCATGTGTAGGACGCTGGAGGGCAAAAAGACTATTATTTTACTTGCTATCCATTTTTTCTGCCACAGAAGAAAAGTTCAGTTAACAAAATGAAACCTGGAGATGTAGGTATTATTACTTTAGTTCACTGCAAATGGAAAAATGCAGCAGAAAAAATGCTGAAAAACAGCTCCAAACCACCGGTATTCTTTTTCTTGCTCTCTGTCAGCTATGCTTCACACAGAGCCGTTGCCGTAGTGACTGACTGACAACAGCTCCAGCTCCAGCTCCAAAAACCAAGCAAACATTTCTCACACAAAGGAAAGACACAAGTTTTACTTGATTGTCATGAGCTAGCACCACGCTCTTACCAAATAAAGGAAGTGTTAGCCATGCCAGCCAAGGGAAAGTACCTGCTGAATAACCAGGAGCTCAAAAATGAGGCACTCTACCGCAGATTCTCCTGCATCAGCCAGTATCAGCCACTGGCTCTGCTGGGCCTCTCCATATTCTTCTGTCTGTAAATCTGTAACATTCAGTTGTTACAGATTTAGGTGTTAAGGTTGTCAAAGTCAAGCTAGCATAGCTCACCTACTTTTAATTAAAACTTTTCCCTGATCTGGTGATATTCTTGGGCCTTATTATTGTTGTGGTATTGTTGGCTATTAATAACAAAGTGTCCCTTTTTTTTCACATATCAAACGTGCATTTAAGATTTACAGTGTTATGTTGACAACTTGACAGCTAAAACCAATGGTAGTCATCGTTGGCAAGTAGTTTGTTGCCCTCCAGCAGCGAGATGGGGGCAGGATCTTTCATGCATCACATCAAGTTGCAATTTGTCTATAATATTGTAGGACACAGAGGACTTCTTGGTCCACTCATCGACTCTAATCAAATCCAGATCTTGTGGATTCAAATCAAGGTCAAATCATCCAGAGGACTTCTCCACTGTGCCGGCCGGTTGGTGTGAACGTATGGGGTCAAACATCTCTACTTTAGTTTCATCTGTTCACAAGTTCCAGAAGTTTTGTCTTTTTTAAAGATGCAGCTTTGTAAACCTATGTCATACTGCCATGTTCTTTCTAGCAAGAAGACGCTTTCCCCTTTAAGTTGTTTTAAAAAAGTCATGCTTGTTCAGTCTTTTCCTAATTATCCTGTCATAGTGTTTAGCATCTTAAATGAGGTCAAGAGGCTAGGATGAAGCTTTTAGGTGTTTTGCAGTTTCTCAGAGAGAATTTTGACCAATGGCCAGATGGCAGTGTAGCTACTGACACTAAATTATTGTAATTCTTGATTTTCACACTTAATCATGCATTTTTATAAATATTAACTGAACAATGTATGTATTTATTTATGTTCATCTTTTTATTTGTTTGTATTTTTAATTTATATTTACATGAGCCTATATAAAAATATTTCACAAGTCATTATTTTATTCATCATGGTAGGCAACTTTTTTCAGTTGCCTACCATGAAGGATGTCACTGAATGAAGGATGAATGGGAAAATGTACTTGAACATGCTTGATAAGAATCTGCAGATGAAATACAAGTGGATATTTTAGCAAGACATCTATACAACACACTTTGTGTGTTGGAAGAAAGTATAGCCTTTATAATAAAATGCTGCTCTGAATCAATTAAAATACCTGTGAAAACCTGAAGTGGCCTCCAGAACCAGTTTGTGTGGAAAAATGAGTCAAAATCTGCTGTAGTTTCTTGATATAGGAGACATTTTGATGCTGTCATTATCAACAAAATATTTTCTAATAAATATTAAATAAGTTCAAGACAACTTTTTCAATACTTATTCCGTATGTCACTCTAGCAAATATATGTGAGAGCGTGATATAAAACAAGGTGAATATTACGTAGGGCACCACATCTCTAGGTGTCATTTACAAATAACTAACATGAATTGAAGTGAAAATAAGACTGTTTAATAGCCATCTGTAGTAAACCACAGTGAGAAAAGACAAAGATAAGAAAGAAAATGTTTTAGAAAAACTTGAACCTTACCCTGTTTTTGCAAAATTAGTCCAGTAGGTCATGACGACGGCACTAAGCATCACATCGTTCTTTGAGAAATTGCAGTTAAAAAGATCTGTGGGGCCGATCATAGGGATCCCAAACACATATGGTACCTCGTCACCGTGGGCCGAATCAGCCCAGCTGGGCTTCATGTCGCTTTGACAGTGATGGTAAAAAGCATAAAAGTAGGTGGGGGAGCCGTACTGGGCGTGAAGGTCAGCTGTGGCCACAGCTGGCGCCACCCACTGGTGGTCGGTGAAGAGCGCCACAAGGGTCTTGCGACGGGTTTCTGGATTTTCCTTGTCTGCCCAGTCGGTGTACATGAATTTGATGGTTTCCCGCAGAGTGTCCTTTCCCTCTGGGTATCCATAGAGATGATCCACAAAGTCTGACACTGCAAAGTCAAAGTCGTTGGCAGACACTCCATCCTCACTGTCCACAATGCCATCCACAAATTTGAACCCCTCGCCCTGGTTGACGCCCAGCATGATGTCATAGTTCAGAAACTCCCCTTGTTCCATGAGAATCTGAGGGTCGTCAGGGATTACGTCGCCGTCAATGACAGGCCCAAAAGCAATGTGATACTTTGCAGGCGTGACGTACTGCTCGATCAGCTCCTTGTAGTTTTTCTTTTGCAGGCATTCCACCAGGTCGATGGTGTCCAGCATGTTGCAGCCCACCTTCTCAGCGAGGGATCGGGTGTACTTTGCAGGCTGGTAATTGACGGCCCAGCTGGACAGCGCTGTCCCACTCTGGATGATGGCTTTCTGGAACAGATCTGAGATTCACACTGGTATTAGTTAAACACTTCAAAGAACGCCACTTCTCTTTTATTGACTACACACATTAACCAAAAAGATGAGAATGTGTAAAAGTTAAACATTAAGAATAATTAGAAATTCCGATTTAATTGGAATTCACAGTGTGGTGATAAAGTGTTTGTCCCCTCTACATTCTGTTTTTGTTTCTTTCTTCCCAACCTGGCCATATGTGAGAAAGTAATGACTCTTTAACATCATTGTAGAGGAACTTTGGCCTACTGTGTTTTGTAGTTTTTCTTTTTTAATTCAGCCAAATTAAAATGTTAAAAAAAAATTTTTTTTTTTTTTTTTTTTTGAACATTTACACTCTTAGATTGACATTCAGGACGTCCCTGAACCTTCACTTTGTTTTTTTGGTTTTATGAGTCATTTGGACATGAACGTCCTGGTGTGCTTCAGATCATTGTTCTCCTGAACAACTCAAGTGTCCTGGAGTTCAAAATCACAAACTGATGCCTGGACTTTTAGGGCAGCAAAACAGCCCTAGATCATCACTGTCACCACCATGACTATAGGTATGATTATCTTTCTCTGAAATGCTGTCGTTTTCACAGAGCAGGATGCACACTATGATTTCCCCAGTAGTCTTGTGGATCATCAAGATGTTTTTTGATACATTTAAGATGGACCTTTGCATTATTTTTTGCTCAGCAGTGGTTCTGCCCTTGTTTCTCTTTCTTATGTTGGAGTAATTAATTCTGACTCTAAATGCAACAGGATCTAGATGGTTCTAAATGTTTTGTCTGTGATAGATGAGGGCTACCTTTGAGTTGGATAAAATTACTTGTCATTCCTACATCATTCCTTGAACACTTACCCCAACAGAAGTTTGCTGGGAAAAGCAGGTTGACTTCTACCAGCCTCAACAAAACACAGGGAGATGTAAGGATCTTGATCTGCCCTCAAAATGTTTTGAAAAGTGGATACGGTGTTTCCCTTTCATCTGTTCTCAGATTATTTTTACATGGACAATATTATTGCCTACATTTGAAAACCTCAAAAGAACAAAATGAGGATTTTGAAATGCTTTGTCAAAGTGGTTAGGGTCAGCTGACATCAAACAAACTGTGTGTTAAACCATGAACAGTCATTCAAGTCTTTAAATACTTGCATGAATATTACAACAGGTTTCTCAGGCAGTACTTAGCACAGCATTTCCAGCTTCCAATCAGCAAATAGGTCACAATACATTTTCCCCAAAATTTTGGTTTTAGACAGTTCTATTTATACTCATGCATACGCAGAGTAGTGACTCAACCAGGCCGATGTGGAAAGTATGTTTTGAGCTCAGAGCCGACATTTCCCAGAAGGCCTGTTTAGTTCTGTGCGAGATTTTACTGCCGCCGTTCTCAAGCTGATGGCGAGCTTCGGCTCAACCTCGACTCAGATATTCACTTCGAGTGACGGTGAGGTTTTATGAGCCTGGCATGTTGATCCACAAGGCTGATGATGCTGCTGTTTTCATGGCAGATTTACAGCATGGCGAATGCAACAAGCCACATTACATTTCTCGGTGATGTATTGCACAGAAAATAAAGGATTCTTGGCAAGGCATGGGCGTTTGTTTACGACCACAGCCCTGAGTGCTGCCCCTTCAGAAACATCCAGACTTCTACCTAAATGTAAAGTAAGCCATTCCTGCTGCAGCAACTACACAACACAGAAAAATGAAACAGATCTGCACACTGCAACAACAAAACCTATTGTTCTCTTTGATCTTCTTTAACAAGCTCTTGCCTTTTTGGATTACCTTTCAAATGAAGCCAAGACACTTTTACCTGTTATTTCGATTTTTAAACTTGTACAAAAGGGACTTTTTCCCCAAAGCCTGTGTTGTTAACATTTAAGTGGAGATATCTTTTAGTAAAACAAGGTTTTAAAGTCAAAACAGAAGAAATATTTATGAATAAAACATGAATGTACAGCTGAACCAATATATACTGTACCAAAAATTCAAAGGTTTTTCTCATCATGTCTGACACTGAATGAAACTAATCTTCATGTTTTTACCAACATCATTTGCATTTGCTAATATCAAAAATAATGAGAGATTTCTGTAAGACATTGTTATTCTTATTCTACCATTCTTGACATTACAAAGTTTTCATTTAAAGTGTCCTATCTGGTTATACTGCTGACAAACTGACACATGTGCAGCTGAAACCAAAAAAAATTACATACACCAAAAAAAAGTCATTTTTTTCCTCAACGCCCCTCTTTTTAAATCAGACCAAACTTCTGCTGTTTAGGTCAGTTAGAATTACCAAAAAAATGTATACTTTATATGCCACAATAATAACAGAAAGAATATGTCAGATTAATTGATTTTCAGATTTTTCTCTAGAACCTAATTCAAAATTATAAACTAAAACTCCATTATTTTATAGATTTTTTCTAAATAGTGTATTTCTAGATTTAAAAGAAAATACCAAGGCACAATTCTGTTTGACAAGCTATTAGCTGTCGTTTGCAAAGTGGCCAATCCAGGAGAGCCATTCATTTCCCTGTCTCTTATTGGCTGCACCCTCGAGAGCAGATGCAATGAAAATGGTAGATATTAGGTTCTGCTGCAGGGCTCAGGTTCTTTCCACTGTGCTTTTAAAGACAATATCAAGTATATTTGGTGTCTAAATTGTTAAAATAAACAGTTTTAAATTATTATTATTATTATTATTATTATTATTATTAAATATTTTAAATGCAGCAGATTTTTGTATCCCAAGACAACAATTTTGATAGTTATATAAATTGTGTGAGTTTACAGTATAGAAGATTAGACACATAAAAAAATAATTTAGAAAAGGAAATTTTGTTTAGATGAAGAGCTGATGAAAAGTGCTGTTGGTTTAGTTTATGCAAGAACAGCTTAAAATCTCTTTCTGTTTTGCATCCATAAAGGTGGCATCTGGCATTATAATAATATTATCATCACTTTAATACAATATAATTCTCCTATTGACTAAGTAGTTGTCACAAATGCTTGGTTGTTTTTTTGTGGCTGTCGTCTTTGTTTATGTGATGAAGCTGTTTTCATTCCTAGGTTAACAAAATGATGCAATTTTCTAAAGTCTGAAGCATAAAATCATTTGAGAAAGTCTCAGGCTTTGATGCCCTGAGGCAGCAGCTGTGGCAAACAGAAGTCCACACCGCCAAGCAAATCTTTTCTGCTTTTCATGGATGTTTCTGCTCAACAACTTTAAATAAGCTGTAAGAGCAGAAGTAAATGCAGATTCAAAAGTCAGCTCTGGTTTTAGAAGTAAATGTTGCTGTGCTTTGAGATGGAAATTCAACTTCTCTTCATGACTCAGTGGAGGAGCTCATACCTTCTGAGTAATGCGAAAGGCAGAGCAGGCTGACGCACGACGCTCCAGCCCCTGAGCCGAAAATGGTCACTCTTTTTGGGTCTCCTTTGAAGGCATGGATGTTTTCTTTGATCCACCTGAGAGCCTGAATCTGATCCAGGAGGCCGTAGTTCCCCTTGGCTGCCTGGTCACCCGTGCTAAGAAAACCTGCAGCGATAAAAATGGAGAAAAAGATATAGCTTTTATTTATTTCAACAATCATAAGTGTTTGTGGTACCTGCAACAATGACTTGCTATTTGTGTTCATTCATGAGAAAAAGGTCTTCATGACTTCTAATCTAACAATATGGAAACTTATTTAAACCTTTGCTGTTACTGTGTCTTTAAGCAGATGCTGCTAATCAAATAGATGTGAGGACTTGGAGCTTAGCAGTGTGTTCTCACAATGCGTGGAAGGAAAGACATCAGTAATCGCCTCAGAGAACCATTGTGTCTGCCCATTGATCTGCGAAGGCTTACCAGGTCATTTCCACAGATTTTCAAGTTGCTCTTTGTACACTGAGAAAGATTCTTCACATGCAGAATTTCTCTTCTCACTTTTCAGCTACCTGTAGTCATCATTAAACACATTTAAGTGAAAACCTTGACACTTTCTACTTTCCAACCCCAGTTTAATCGTATTTAGATGGAAGTCAAAGGTGTTTTCTACTCAGGGTTTCAGTAAAGATGTACAATACTAGAGTTCATAGCAATGCAGTTAAAAGAAATTCTGAACAAGTATGATTTTTGTTTGAAAAAAAGCAAAGCTTTAATTAAAAATAAATATGAATTCCTTTAATTTTATGAACATTGATAAATTTTTCAAAAACTTTTTTATAAAGTAGGTCTGGAAAAAAATGGTCTCTTTCAATTTAACTGAGAGATGTGAGTGAATTTGTTTCTCTTCTTTAGATCGGGGCATCATGCGATCCTGCAGCCTACGTCATGCTGCTCCTCTATGTTTGTCTCAGTTGAGTCCTTTTATGAGGACTTTCACAAAACAGGTAAACGTGACTCAAGTCCACTTTTTTGGCTCAACTGCAACTTATTTCTGACTTTTTCATGGCAGTCTGAATGACCCAATAAAGATTACTTTTCAACCACTCAAAATCCAGATTGTGCTACTTCGACATGTGCTACTAAGTCGGAAACGATTTATGCCGCATTTTATGTCATTTATGTGAGATGTGTCATAATTTTGCACCAGCAGAAGTTAGACAAACAACAGATGTAAACAATGGCTGAAAGTTATAAATCATAAAAATTCTGATGTTAAGGCAGAATTCTGTCATCTCCATTACAAATGTCCACAAAACTTTGTCAATATTCCATTAATGTCGAAAAACACAATTTCGCAATTGTGGCATTTCCATTAAATAAAAAAAAAATAAAAGTAATAAAAATCCCACTTGAATAAATTTGTTCATGTGAGGTCACTAAAAACACATGCCACACCTTGATCCTCTGACTACTTCCTGTTGTCTTCTTCATGGTTTGCACCAGTTGTAACATCTGCATGTTGATCATGTGACTCTTGTGATGTGAAAAAAAGTGTTTCTATTGCAGTTTTGCAAAATAAACCAATTTAGATATGGCCAAAAAAGCTACCTCATTCTAGTGGGAAAAACTTTTTTTGAAATAAGTGTGTTTCCATTAAGCAAATTTATTTTCAAAATTTCAAATTAACGTAATTATATTGTCAATGGAAATGCAGCTGAAACATCATAACTCCACCACTTTGACTCCAACTACACATCCAAACAGACTTCTCTACAGGTTTGGAGTCAATGCAGCGCGAAATTCATTACTATTAATTGAGCTTTCTTTTTATTAGTTGTTGATAGAAAATATCAATAACAGATTGTTTCACTTACAACAATAGAACAATGTCTTGTTATAAATGAAATAATCTACCAGTAAAACATGTATTTTTTTCATTATTAAGGAATTAGTGAGTCAAAACAAGCTCCTCCATCTTGTTAAAAAGTTACTTGTAAGTTGTCTTTGTCTTAATTCAAGTGTGCTAAGATATTTGCACTAGAAAGTAGACCAGAACTACTTAGTGAGACTGTATGTTTTTGCAGTGTGGGTGCTGCTGGTGGTCAGAGGGTTCGGTGGCTCACTTTTGTCAGTCTGCTCCAGGGAAGCAGAATGCTGAATGGATGAATTTCTGAATGTAGTGTAAAGCGTTTTGGAATCCTCTGGACTTGAGAAAGTGCTATTCAAGTACAGGCTGTAATCTGTGTGGGGTGAAATACTCTTCACTCTGTGTAAACCTCAAAAACACCTTGGTGGATCTGTGATGAACTGGAATACAATGAAAGGTGGTAGTACACATGCTCCTCTGCTGTTCCAAGTATCAACAGCCAAGTAGAGAAGTATGCAAATTTGATTGTACCCATTGCACCAGAAAAGGTTGCCCAGAAGGAGTCCCATCCAGACTGACCGGCCAGACAGCAGCCTCTGACTTCCAAAAACTTGTTGACAAATTAGCAAATACCACTAAACCCATTAAGTGGCTTTCTAAATTGTGCCACTGGGGTTCCTGGCTGCAGCATCCTGCCAAGCCTGGCAGCGGCCACCGGTAGCTGTGAGCTAACCAAGACTGAGGAAGTGTAAATGACAAATGGAATGAAAACCACTTGGTAAGAGTGCAGGGGAGAAGGAGGATATGTAGCCTGTGGCTCTTTGATACACCACAGATCCAGTTTGTCATGGTGAGATGGAGGGAATGATGGGAAGAGGAGGGAAAGGGTGGGGGCGGGATTAAAGGCCGACGGCAGCCTCCTAGACCCTGCAGCACAGCCCTGATGCTGCTCTCCCCTTCAGACCCTTTTCAGCCCCCAGATTCTCATTTCTCTGCTCTCTTTTCCTCTTCCCTCACATCCCTCACCTCAAAGGAGCCAAAGAGAGAAGCACGCTTACAGGCTCTCCTCAGGAGGTGTGAAGATTAGTCAAAGATTCATTTCAAAGCATCCTGTCCCCAAAATAGACTCACATAACTGTCTGCTGCCTGAGACTTTACAAGGAAAACCATTTCAAATAAGTAACAGGAATCAAATAAACAACACACACTCTACAGACATGTTCACATGTTAAACATGAACAGCATGGTCATTCTGAACTGATCTTTTTTTGGTGTTAAATGTACGCATTTACCTAAATGTCTTAATGAGTGACGTTAGAAGTTATATAATGCATTTTAAGCTTTTACTTGTTAAATTCAGAGATCATTAGTTGAAAAATAACTTTAAAAATGTGTTTTTGTCATCATGCAGATCCTACATTTAGTAGAGATGGTTCATTTTAATTTTGCACATATAATAGGTTCACATTTTGGTATTTAATATGTAGATTATATAAATAAGATAATTTACTAGATGACATCAAAGTTAGTACAAAATGATTCTTGGTAGGAAGAAGTTTGAGGCTAATTTGCGACAGTAGACAATGACTGAATTTCACCTGATGAGTGTAGACTAAACCAGATGGAAACATAATCTGTCTTTCTGTTCACTGCATAATTTCACAATTTCACATTTTGGAAATACATTTGCATAATGGAAACTTGATTTGTGAGAAAAAGTTCTTAGACAACAGGACCTTCAACATTTCTTCAAAATGTGTAAAAACCTTTGAAATCCATGTTTGAAAACAATTTCTTCCTTTCTCTACGGCTATGTGAGTTTTAGTTAATTTCCACATAAAGACTCAGTAAAAACCCTGAACTTCGGTGTTGGAATGTGATAAAATGTAAAAAAGTACATACTTTTTCAAATGTTGTACATAGTGACTTTTTTCTATGCTATTTTTATGAGGAAAATACCTTTTCAGTATCTTTAACAAATGACAAAAATAAAGCATCATTTACTCTGCAAGAGTTAGAGGCTCTAAGGAATTCACTTCTGGTGAAATAGGAAACAGAATAGGAAACTCAGTAAATCTGAGTTCATTCAAATATCGAAACAACTCCCAGATCTTCAGTTGTTTAGCTGGTCAGTTCATCATCCTATAAACTAGTGGCTGATTGAGACATGTGCAGCTGAGATTTACCAAATCAAAGGATTTAAAATGTGAAGAAAATGAAAGAAACATTCCTTGGAGGTAAACTGCTTGTGGCTGCAGTTGACATTTCAGTCCTGCTGCTTTTATCGGAGCGCCACCACAGAAATTAAACCGGAGCAGAGCTGTCAATACTCACATGGAAGAAAACACTAATGGCACACATTTAAAAATACCACTCAGGGTGAATCACATAAAGAAATCACTGGACAGCCTTTTAACCAGACCACTGACAGGCAATTTTCATTTTCAGTTTCACCTGACAGGGACACTTAGTGAGTTCTTGGTTAATGTAGTGTAATAAAATGTGTCTCAAGACGGACTGATTTTTGAAAAAAAAAAAAAAAAAAAGGTATGACTTACCAGAAAGCAAAATTGTAGAGTTTTTCATCATAGACTTCAGAAATTCCACTCACCTGACATCATTGATTCAATGAAAGATTCTTTGAGTTTTCACTCTGTTATATGATGTCAGGTTTTACACTGGAGCCCCGTCATGTTGAGCTTCACTGCTTCACCAGCTTTTCTTTATTTGTTTTTTAATTGAGTGACTTTATTCAATCCTAACTTTGCATTACAAACATACAATGTGTTGGATTTAAACATCCAACACATTGGGGCTTTGGTGAAAATTTTCTCTTCCCTCTCCAATAAAAATAAATATACAAAGTTTATGTTTCATCTATAATACACAATGAAATAAATACATATCAAACTGCAGTGATAACTTTTTTTTCCAAGAAATACAATTTTTAAAAATGCAAATGAAACAAAGATTTGGTTGTGTAGTTTAAAAAGACTTTGGGGTGAGGGGTGGGGTGGGGTGGGGGGGGGATTGATTTCTATGCTAAATGCATGAATAAAATCCAAAAAGTCACACAAACTGCAGCCTGTTTTTGTTGCGTGATGTGCTATAAAAGTAAACTTGAATTAACTTGACCTGTATTTTATTCGGCAACATTTCCTGCAGAGACAATAAGCTGCTACTAGTAATTGTTTGCATTCATAGATAATTACATAATGGAAATGTTCTTTTTTATTTCCTGGTTGGTTTAGTTGTTTTGTTAAGATTTAGAGTCATAGTAAAAATAAAGTATGCACTCAAG